ATAAATAAACAAATAAATAAATAAAATAAATAAATAAATAAATAAATGTTATACCAATAGGTAAATGAATAAACTGATGGAAAAATAATAAAACAAGTAAAGAAATAAATAAACAAACTGACAAACGGATAAACAAATAAATAGACAAATAAATAAAAAAATGAATAAATAATAAATAAATGAATGAATAATAAATAAATAACGGATAAATAGATAAATAAATAAACAAAAAAGCAAATAAACAAACAAAAGGATAAATAAATGTAAATAAATAAAAAGAAATAAAAGAATTAAAAATTAATTTATTTAAAATTAAAAAACTTCACCTGGGTCTCCTTCTGTCTCCGCCTGCGAAATAAAAAAAACAAAGTCTCTTTTTGTCTTTTTGCATTTTTTGTTTTATTTTATTTTATTTCATTTTATTCATTTTGTTTTATTTTATTTTATTTTTAATTTTTTTAAACTTAATTTAACTTATACTATTTTTTTGTTTGAATAATTTGAAATGGAAGCACTTCCAAACTAAATCAAAAATATAAATAAAAGAAATAAGACAAAAACAAATTAAAGAAATAAAACAAATAACAAATAAAACAAATGAAATAAAACAAATAAAAGAAATAAAACAAATTAAAAGATTGAGAAGAGAAATAAATCAAATATGGCACAGAAAGGCAAAAACCCTTCTAGGTGCTAAACCCTAAACCCTAAACCCTAAATTCTAGACAAAAGAGAAGAAAAACCAAGTCCGAAAATAAAGAAACAAACAAACACATAAACAGACAAACAAACAAATAATAAACAAATAAATAAGAAATAAATAACAAATCAACAAAAAACAAATAAATAAAAACAAATAAATAAATAAATAAAAAAGTTTTTTTGTCTTACCATTTGCTGCTGCAGCCGCAAAAGCTTTTCTTTCAACTTTTCCACTTCGTCTTTTCTTTCTGTCTCCGCCCTCTGCAAAAGTAAATAAATAAAATAAACAAACAAACAAATAAATAAATAAATAAATAAGTAGATAAATTAATAAATAGAAAATAAACGACAGATTAATAATAAATAAATAAAATTAAAAAAAAATAAATAAATAGCTACCAATCAAATGAAATAAATAAATGAATAAATAAATTAATAAAATAAATAAATAATTAAATAACTAAACACGAACAGCAGACAAATAAAAACTAGTATTCCAAAATAGACATATATATAAAAACAAATAAACGCATAAAAATGAACAAATATATAAACACAAACAAATAAATAAATAAAAACAAATAAAATGAGACAAAAAGAAATGAAAAGAAATTGAAATAATAAAAATAAATAGAAACAAATAAAAATAAATAAAATGAAATAAGAGAAATAAAAGAAATAAAAGAAATAACAGAAATAAAGAGAAGTAAGAATATCCAAAAAGAGCCAAAAAGGCCCCAAAAGCCAAAATAAAGGAAAAAAAAGAGAAAAAGAAAGAAAGAAAAAGAAAAAAAAAGGAGACAGAAGAAACAAAAGGAGACAAAAAGAGACAAGAGAAATAAAAATAAATAAAAACAAATGAAAGGAAATAAAAAGACAAAAACCGCCCAAAATATCCAAAAAAACCAAAGCAAAAAAAGAAAAAAGAAACAAAAGGAAGAGACAGAAGGGGAAAAGAAATAAGAGGAAATAAAAAGAAATAAAGAAATAAAAGAAATAAAGGAAATAAAAGAAATAAAAAAATAAAAAAAATTAAAAAAAAGAGACAAAAAGAGCCCAAAAGGCGGTAAAAGGCCAAAATAAAATATAAAAAAAAAAGAGAAAAAGAAATAACAAATAAATAACAAATAAATAACAAATAAATTAAAAACAAATTAAAAACCAAATAAATAAAAAAGAAATAAATAAAACAAAAGACCTTTAGGGTTTCTTTGAAGGGGAGCAAAGAAAAAGAAAAAAAAGAAATAAAGGAAATAAAAGAAACAAATAAATAAAAGAATAAAGAAATAAACAAATAAATAAATAAATAAATAAATAAAAAGGAAATAATAAAAAAGACCTTTAGGGTTTCTTTGAATTTATTTATTTCTTCCTTTTGCTTTTTCTTCAAAAGCTCTTTTTGCTGCTGCAGCTGCTGCGTCACCGACTGGCTGTAGGCGTTGGCCCAGCTGCTGCAGCAAACAACAGTTTCATTTTATTTATTTATTTATTTATTTATTTTATTTTGTTTTAATTTTTTAATCCTTTTTATTCCTTCCTTTTATTTCCAGCGTTTTCCCCGCGCAAAGAGCTTCAATTTCATCCGTTTCGTTGCTTTTGCTGCCAAAAACCAAACCCTAAACCCTAAACCCTAAACCCTAAACCCCAAACCACAAACCGCAAACCCTGAACCCTAAACCTGAAACCCCAAACCTGAAACCCCAAACCCTAAACCCCAAACCCCAAACCCCAACCCCCAACCCCTAAACCCCAACCCCCAAACCCTAAACCCCAAACCCTAAACCCCAAACCCTAAACCCTAAACCCCAAACCCTAAACCCTAAACCCTAAACCCCAAACCCTAAACCCTAAACCCTAAACCCTGCAGACCCGGACTGGCCGAAGGAGGCGAGGGCGAGGGAGACTTTGGAGTTGACGCTTTCGGAAAGACTGGCCCACTCCACTTCTTTCGATTTCGCCACGCGCTCC